GGAAGGTGAGGGCCAACCAGGTGGGGGATATTCCTGTGGAGAGGAAGTCGGAGATGTGGGAGATATGGAAATGAGCCAGCTGAAGCGCGATTCCCACAGGATTACAGGAGGGATACAAGCGGGAAGTTAGGGTTTTCTCAACTATAACGGAAATAATATTATTTAGAACTATGGAAATTATGTAATTGAGATGGGATAGTGATTTGTTATATGATGCTTTACTGGGAATTTTGAAGATTTAAAGATAAATTGATCAAAAATGATCCTATATTTATATATTGTTAAATAATAAAAAAAATAATTATTATTAGGGTTAACATAACACATGTACATATTTCAACAAATATAATACGCTCAATTTTATATTAAAACTATATCAAACTTTATTACATCGAATTTTAAATATTTAAAAAATCAATGTTATCGATTTTATCGAAAAATTACGAAAAATTTTATTTGTTTTTTTGTCCTTGAATAGAGACTTTTTTTTTATTAACTTTTCATTTTAAACATGTGAAAAGAGCTAATTTAAACGTAGCTTAAGCTTAGTTAGATGGAAATGCTTACCCACAGAAGTCGTAATAGGAAAGAAAGTTTGTTTTCCGTTTTAATTGCCAGCTGCAAACTTTAACGAAGATTCATTTATTCTAAGGCAGTCGGTGGCCAAATGGTTAAGGCCAGGCCTTTAATCTATTCATGTTGATCGAGCAAACGCATGCGGGAGTGGGAGTGGGACAGGACCTAAGACCAAGTGCAGTTCACACAAAACGTGCAAATAATAACACCATCTACGCTAATGATCAACGCCATGATGTTGCGCCTCTCCTCTAACCAACATAAAAAAGCTCACGCACACACAAATACCAACGATTTTGTACTGAGTGGGAGCAAATGCGATGGGGGAGGTGCAAGAGAGACAACAGGTGCTGAAATAATAGCTTTTTCTAGCTTAAAATAGGTATTTATATTTTTAAAGATAATTAATAAGACATTTTTAACAAGATTTTTAATTAAAAAATAAACCCACTAAACTTCATAATTATTTAGTAGAGTTTTATTTATTATTCCTTTAATTCTATATACATTTTTTAAAGTTAGGAAACTGTATTTATTTAAAAAGCTTAGCTATCTTACAGCTAAACAAAACCTCCGACAACACTAACTTCCTAATAAATGGTGAAAGAGTTTACCGAGGGAGGGAGAGGCCAACAGTGGCCACTTGCAAACAGACAATAAAACGCGTTAACTGCTGTTTTGCCTGCCGCAATTGTTGTTGCTCTGTCTATGTGCTGTCTCTGTCTCTGTTTCCTACTCTCTTCTGTATGCCTCCCCCTGCCTCTTTTGGAGCACGCAGAGCCACTAACTAATTGGCTAAAGGAACAACAACTTTGAACCTGGGTCGTCTCTCTCTAGCTCTCGCATTTGAAGATGATATCGTTGTCTTGCAACTCACGCACTCACCATTACACTTGCACAAACACACAGATGGCCCCATCGTCTCTCCATCTCGCTCACGCGAATGGTGTCGGCCCCAACACAAAAAAAAATAGCAGAGAAAACACTTGCGCTGTGTTTGTTGTTCGCTCACTCAAATTAGCTGAAACTGTCAAGGAAATGCAAGCGAGAAAGAGATAGACGGCTTGGGGATAGTGGAGGAAGGGGTCAGAGGATGAACTAAGCTTATTTCGTGCTTTTTTCTGTTTTATCTCGGAAACAATAAGATTTACCTTTTATGACAGCGCCTCTTCAGGTTTCTAGTGTTAAAAAATTATACATTTCAAAGGAACACCTTCGCCAGGTAATAAAATTTCTTTAGACTTTCTTTTAGAATTTCTTAATTAAATTAAATAATTAAATAACTTATTACAACTAATTCCTATGGGTTATTCCGATTCCGAAATACCGAATCCCAATCCGAGTCCCGGCGATCGCGCAAAAAAGCACACTTCGCCTTCGTCGTGACAAACAAAACGCTCACGTTTATCGCCGACAAAAGATCTCCATTTTTACGCTAAATTTCATTTGAGTTTGCGCTTTTTTTTGTCGCTGAGGTACGTCTACCCCCCATTCCACCCCCTCTTTCTATCCCTCTTTTTCTGCTCTGGATCGATCGTCTATAAGTATATATGTTTATATATATATAGCTGTTTTGTTTTTGCCTTTTGTTTGGAAAGTTTTTCATTTTGGGCTCGTTAAAAAATTTGAAATTCAAAAAAAGTGTTGTTTTTTTTTCAAAGATAGACAAAAGGGTGACGGAGGTTGAGGGTGGAAAAAAAAAGGGGCTTTGTTTATCTTTGCATATTCATAAAGCTGCGATCTGTTTACCTTTTTGCGTTGTCGTTTGACTTTTAGCTGCTTTATTATTATAGTTGCAGCTAGCTGGCCAAAATCGTCAGGTTTTTATCAGTGAGACACCAAGTGGGGGATTTCCAAGAGGGGTTACAGGTAAGCCTGCCCCGAAAAGGTGGAAGACCAGACAGACAGCGGCTTGCGGTTGCGAAAAACGTCAGGAAAGTGATATTTGTTTATTGTTAACGAATTGAAATGGATGCGGAATAAATTTAAGAAGGGTATATTAGTTTTAAGAGAAAAGAAAATATGAAAATGAATTGACCTTAAATTAGTTTTTTTTTTTTAATTTAAATGGGTAATAAATCGTTATTTATATTTAAAATAATACCTTAAGCGATTCCTTAAAGTTCTTAAATATTATTCAGTTATATTCTATAGAACGTATACGTAATATTTAATTTTTATATATATTTTTTAGCTCTATCTTCTGTCTCAAGAGGTCATTCACCTTACCATAATCTTTCTATCCCCGATCATTAAAATCTTTCCTTTAAATCTATTAAATATTTTCCCACCAACAAACCCTTACCCAGGGCAGAATATTAATTTGCCATAAATAAGTCACCACAGGCTTTGGGGTCCCTAAAATCAGTCAAATTGTCGGCGGCCTAACCCAAAGATCTTCATCATAGTAACCCCAACTGGACCCGTTATCCACAGCCGAAAAAATAAGCGCGAAATTTGGCACAAATAAAATAAAATAATCAAAAAGACTTGGGTCTTCGGGTTTATTTTTATTGGTTGGGTAGGGAGAGGGTCAAGCCAGGCAGTTACCCTCCATGTTTTTGGCAATTTTTTATTTCAGTTTCCTATTTTTTATTGCCTCGATCTTTGTTATCGAGAAGCAAGGCAAAGTCCGGGCAAAAAGGCACACAAAAGGCCCTAAATGCGCGTCTATTTTGTTACAATTTAAGACGCTTATTAGAAATCGTTTGCAAATTGTTTAGCAAGAAAGCAGGCAGGCACGAATGCGATCCGTTCGTTCGTTTTTGGGAGCAGCGATCAACGAGCTCTCGTCTTTGGATTTGGGCTTTGGGTTTTGGCCTGGCTTTGGCTCTTGGATCTGGGTCCCTGTGGATCTGCAGAGGCTGGGGGCTGGCTGCCTGGTGTAACCCGAGACTGGAGCAAACGGCTGTGGAGGCAGTGGAGCCACGAAATGCGTGCATATTAATGTTTGTATATTTACGTTGGCCCGGGATCCACAGGGATTGCATCTCTCCAGAAGGCACTTGGAAAAATATTAAAATAACAAAATATTTCTAAAAAACTAGCAGAAGAAACGGTAATATTTTTTATACAACAAATATAACAAAAAAAAGGCTGGTCTTGCCACCAATTTTGTTTTAAGAGTTTGCCTAAAACTCTTAGCTTTACACATTTTTTACAAACTTTAACATAAATATTAACTGAATAATATTTATATAATATTTTTATTGGCCTTTATTTTTTAAGAGTGTGCACACGTGAAACTTGACGTAGACTTGTTGCTGCCGTTGCCTGGCTGCTTGGGTTTTCTGCCAATTTCCCTTGGTTTCTGGGCTGTTGGCTGCTCTCTAGCTGCCTGATGATCTAATTTGGCAACAATTGTCGTGGTCGTCGATCGGTGATGCCGATGATCGCGGTTCGGCTGGATACCCGGCACACACATGTGCGAGGAGGGCTTTTTCCAAAGACCTGGGAGCACAGACAGTGCTCTCCGCCAGGCGATCGATTGATCTCGATAATGAGTTTCGTTTCGTTTCGATTCGATTCGTTTGGCTCCAGAGAGGACGCACCCATAATTTCGTATGCTCTGTCACCCGAACGTTATGATTTCCACCGATCTTATGTGAAGCCAGATCCACGCGGGGCTTTTCCGCTTGGCTGGAGGAGGCATCGATCACACTTGGTGATCTGTGGACTCTATTTTCACTGCTCTCTCATTAAGATCATGTCTAATAAGACCTTTTTTTATGTTGCTTGGGGCGCGGGCTTACTGAGGCTTGAAGCCTGGCCTCTTGATTTAGTGACTGCCATTTTGTACGTGCCTGTACGTGAGCAGAAATTTAAATATAATTTATGATCAGCATAGCGTATAAAAAGCCCCTTATGTTTGCTTTGGCCTGGGCAGGCAGGCCATTAAATGTAGCGATTGGCTGATTGACTCCGGCTCTTGGGTTGGAGGTTCTCCATTTCCCCAACGACTGGCTTCGATTTGTTTATTTATTTGAAAAGAGGAGCATGACCCAAAAAAAAAGGAAGGAAGAATGCGGGGAGTATGTGAAGAATATGCACGACTTTTCTGGATTCCATTGAATGTACTTAAATGGGGTAAGGGAATTGATTTTTTAAAAGGGAATATTAGCTAAAAATAAAATATATGATAATCAAATATTTATAATTAGAATTTATAATTATAAAAGTAGGAAATTTCCTAGAAAAATGTGGGGTTTTATCTGAATCTTCGAGGTATAGTTTTTCGAAATGTAAATGTAAATTTAAAAAACCTTCGAATGTTATTTAAAAAAGAATTGTTTTGATATTTTTGTTTATTTTTTAAAACATACTTTGTATATATATATATTTTTTTTTTTTCATTTTTCAAGAATCTGAAATAAAGAAATCCTTTTTCCCATTTCCCCCAAACATATTTAACACAAAATATAATATTTCTCGTTTGTAAATTAAATGTATTTTTCTTCATACTCCACTTGATGCAATAAATTACTTAAAATTACAAAACATTTTCGTATCAAAATATGTCGTTCGCTTAGCCTAAAAGTAGAACATTTTCAATGTGTACGAAAAGTAGTAGGTGTAGGTAGTAGTATCAAAAATATTGTACGATCTACGAGCTAGGCTAAAATACTATATCGTATAAAATAGGGAGAGATGTTTGTATAGTAATAGTATGTGTCTTTACATTTACAGCTTACGATTGTCTGGCGTTTCGTTTTTGTTCAGCTTAAAGTCTACAGTTAGACATAATACATTATGTACAGGATAAATCAAAGAATACTTTACAAAGTTCGGCTTTAGGATGGGGACACACTCATGGGGTTTGGGAGAAATAATAATCATAATCTTCAGAAATTACAGGCTCTACAAAATGAATTGGTTTTACGAAATTAAAATGTAATTTTCTTTTTTAATTTTCTCTGCGCGGAGAAAATGCTGACTAGAAAATAAAAATAAAATTCTTCTTGAAATTGTGTGTCTGCACTGGGGCTTTGTTCGTATTTTGGAAACTTGGAGCTGCCTAAGAGAGCTAGGAACTAATTTTTGGTGGAACATGGCTGGGATCTCTATGATGGTGATGATTCCCCCTTTTAGGGCTCAGCATAGCCGGCGTAGGACAGCTCGCTGGAGGATCCTCCGCCGCTGGCATTGCCCCCAGGGCAGCCGCCCTCAGAGTGCTTGGTGAGCAGCGACATACGCGAGAAGGTCTTGGAGCAGCTGGTGCAGGAGTACTTCTTGATGTCCGAGTGCGTCTGCAGATGGGCACGCAGATTGGAGCGATCGGCGAAGGCACGATGGCAGTGCTGGCAGCTGAAGGGCTTCTCGCCCGTGTGTGTGCGGATGTGTCCCTGGAGCAGCCATGGCCGGGAGAAGGCCTTGCCGCAGAGATTGCACTTGCAGGGCAGCGTGTGGGTGCGAATGTGCATCTTTAAGGCACCCAGAGAGACGTAGGTCTTATCGCAATCCTTGCAGCTGAAGGACTTCTTCACCTGGTTGCCCTCGGCGGCGGGGCAGTGGAACTGCTGGTGCTTGGTCAGGCCGGAGAAGGTGGAGTAGCTCTTCTGGCAGTCGGGGCACTGGTAGCGTGGCGGCTGCGACTTGTCCTTGTTCTTGGAGGAGCCTGAGCTGCCCGATGCAGCAGCTCCTGCAGGCAACGATGATGTAGACACATCGCCAGCTTTGGTCGGCGTGAGCTCGCTTTGCTGTGGATTATTCTTGAGGGTCTTCTTCAGGTGCTTTAGTGAGAGATCCTCTGGCAGGGAGGAGCTGCAGCTGGACTCGGGGGTCATGGAGCGCATGGAGTAGTAGGAGCTCTCGGAATAGGCCGGCGAGATGGGCGCATGGTGGTGATAGCCGCCCAGAGCGGGATAGCTGGGCATGGGAGGATACGGCAAGAAGCGATGCTGATGCTGATGGTGTTGCCGTACTCCAATGGGCCGGTGGATGATCTCGGACCTCATGGGAGGCGACACGGAGCTGGCCCGGCCATGCAGATAGTGATGCGGCGGTGGCGACAGAGAACCCAGGGAATCGCTGGGCGAGCTGGGGGCCATGAGATCGCCGCGCAGGGGAGAGATCTGGTGGCCCTGATGATTGATGGTCCGGTAGAATTCGGCGGTGTACGGCGACATGTGGAAGCTCCACGGGTATTTTGGGTATGTGGGCGTAGGCATTATCACCGATCCGGGCACGGAAGCAGACACTGAGGCGGCACTGGCCACGGCGGCCACTGCAGCAGCGGCTGCTAGGGCTGCCGCCTGTGTCTGATTGGCATCCGAATCCACGTCGACGTCCACATCCTCGTCTTCTTCGTCCTCCTCCATCTCCTCCTCGTCCGTGTGGTCCACGTCAACGCCCTCGTCCTCGCAGCAGTCGCTCACATTGATGAGCTCCTCGGAGGGATGCTCCTCCTCTTCCTCTGTTATTTCCAGCTTCTTCACGCACAGATCCTGGGGCTCGGGATCCTCGAACTGGTAGTTAACTGGTCGCTTTTTCAGCGGGCACTTGCTGTAGTTTTTCTCCACCAACATGTCTTCCACGGAATGCATTTTGTCGATTTTTATTTGCTTCTCTCGATTTGTAAAAGTTCTTAAAAAGTTTCACGTCACTTATGCTTAGTGTGACCACATCGCTAGAACACACTTTCAAAATTCACAGAGTTGATTCTTGTACGTGTTACCGCGTTTTCCGTTTCCGTTGGAAAAGTTCCGTTGCTTGCTTGCAAGAGTGTATTTTTTTTGGGATCTCGAAGAGAACTGAGCGAGTTCGCCGCTGCTGGCCGCCTTTTATACCCGCGGTGGTGGCGACAGCGCTGCCGGGAGAGCAAGAGAGCGCAGGAGAGAACATGTTCGTTCAGGTAGCGGCCGTCGACCAATGGCAGGGCTCGGCGCTCAAACAGGTTTCGGCATGTTTATGTACGAAGGCCTCACGTGCCGACTTCGTACACTTGCACCAATCGAACGAAGCCCGATGCCGTTATAATTGCACTGGTGTTTTCTATATATCGCCCCAGGTAACCGTGTAGGTGTGCGTGAGCGGGAGAGCCGAGTTCGCTGCGCAATAAGGAGAAGTGGAGCCAGCCGCGAAAGAGAGCCGAAGATCGTGCCTGCATAATGCTTGTGGCAAATTACGCCTAAATGGGAAATTCTGAATTTCGGGATAACCCAACTTTTGGGGGGATTAGCAGCAAATGAGGGTTACACTTACGCTATCATTATCATCAGGTGCCTCATTAGCGGACCAGATAACTGGAACGCAAAAAAGAGGAGGCAGGTAGGCGGAATGAAGGTCAAAGGACAAAGAGCAACACAGGTAGCTCGCGGCATTAATGAACTGTTTTTTCTGGTTGTTTTTGTTGCCTAAAAGGAGTGAGGTAACTTCAACCAGTAAGTTATTCCAAAAAGTTGCAGTTGGCAGAGTTAGACAAAAAAGTCGTGAAGAGTTAATGGAAATAGAATGTGTACCGTTTCTTGGAAATCGGTCTCAAGTTGTTTAAAATGCAAATTTTATAATTAACTTCTGACTACCTAAAATTGGGCAGTTTTTTTTAATGATGTAATAATAATGGCATCCAAAAATATGTTCAACTTATGCTCCGAAATTTGGTTAAGATGTCCATACAATCGATTCAATAAACGCATTTAGTTATTTTTTTACGTTATTATTCAGATTAAATAAAACAAATATCCGTTTAAAAACAAAATAAATGTGAGAGGTAAGCACTTTGATTTATCCAACTCTTCACTCTTAAAAAGCTTTATCAAAACGGATGCTCTTTAATCGCACGCTCTTTATTTTAACGTTCCGTTTCCACTTTGTTTCACTGGCTCTCTTAAACCAAAATAATTTCTCTACAGACTGCAGACTCCAAATTTTTCTAGCGTGGCGTCAAAAATCTAATTTAAATCCTTTTCTGTTTGTTGTCGATTTTTTGGGAGGATCTAGGATACATGCACGGAGCAATTAAGGATCGTGTTGAGGTCCTCAAGTGGACCATGCCACACGCACACACACGCCACCAAGTGGCAGATGTGTATGGCAACAACACGAAGCAAACACAAAACAAACACAAATCGAAAGTGTTCTCTTCGGCGAGATAAGATAAGTTAAGAGGTGTTGCCGTTCTCCGATTGCAGGACATAAATCAAAGAGAAGCTATGCTGTGCCAATTTATGTCCTTTTACAAGGAAACTCTTTTACACAGAGATCTATTTTATAAAAAAAATAAAAAACCGTGTTTACTTTAATTATCTTTACTTTAAACCTGAAAATAACAAAATGAAAATTTTTAAATTTAAAATATTGAGTGTAATCCTCCAAATATTTACAGAAAATACGTATAATTTGTCTACACATTTAAACAATAATAAATAATGCAACTAATACATAATTGTTTAATCAATATCTTTAGAGTTACAAACAATATATTGTTTATAATGTTTTAAATTTAATAAATTATAATCTTACAATAAAAATAACTATAACTTTAGAATATTTGCCTAATCTATAGAAAAAATATATTTAATTTAAAAATCAAATTTATATTAAATATAAATATTTATTAAATATATTTTTATTTTATAACATTTTTCTCTGTGCATCGAAACCACACACATGGCTGGCATTTAACTTAATTAGCGTTCTTATCAATCGCCTGTCCCTGTGGCAGGGCCACTGCTGTGCTCGAGGACACAGATCCAGATGCAGATCCTCGTCTCCCTTGGCCACAGACCCAACTAACAGGAATTCCCAGGAAGCTGGCTATCCGGGCACAAGTGCGATCCCACTGAGATTGGCAAACGAGGAACCCGAAAAACCGCCAGCATAAATTAATAGATAAACATGTGCAATTCTAGAGACAGGTTTTTGGGTTTGGCAGGCAGTGCTGGCAAAACAGCTATTTTTATGGATTTAAAATTATAAATAAAATATTTAAAAATAAATCCTTAAAATATATTAATAGAAGAATGCTTTTTTAGTCTACTTTTAAGAGATTAATTTTGCTTTTAAGTTTCAATTAAATTAAATTCATGTTTAAAATGCTTACATTTTTTTTTTGAAAAATTAGTTAATATATTTTTTCTTCATTTAAATTCAATTAATTAATTATATATTAATAAATACATTTTTATAAAAACATAATATTTGAAAATGTACTTTTAGGGTTTTCCAACTATTTTTGTTTTTATTTATTTATTTATTTATTTTTTGTTTTACCCATTTTATCTTCTCTGTTGTGTCTGGTCTACACTACTCTAATTTACATGGCCATGTCCAGGTACTTTGGCTCTGGCTAGGAGACCTTGTCTGGGATCTTGGTCCCTGGCTTCGAATCTGTTATCTTATCGCACGTCGTTGGCCTGGCTCTGCTCTGCCCATGACGTCTCCTCTAATTGTAGATGTTGGAGAGGAGACTGGAGGCTTCGTTGTCGTTGGGCTGTTAACAAAGATTTAATGATCTTGTTAACTAATTTTTTTTCCGGCTCACAGTTCTGGGTTCTAGCGGTTTTTTGGGAGGGGAGTGGGACCACCCACTGTCAATACTGCGATCCCATTCGACCGCTGTGCAAGTTAATTAGTTTGCGTTTGTGACTGGCCTTAAATCAGGCTAGACCGGGTTTCTTTTTTGGTAGGAAATCCTCTGGCAGCAAGTGAGAGTAATCAGAAATTGAGTATTATGTAAGATTGGAAGGTAAAGTTGGGTGGAATATATAATTTGTTTGCGGTTGCAAATATATCAATACGTATTTTATTTAAGAAATTGATAGAATAATAATTGTAATAAGAGTTTTATGATGTAAATTCTAAGATCTAAAAACAATGCTTATATATTGTATTCCATAATTTCTAATTAATAATAATTATATTTTAAGACATTTTATCAACCAAAATTAATCAGAGAAAGCTAAGAAAGTACTCCATTATGTATCCTTACAATCTAAAAAAAAAATCAAAAGAAAAAAATCAAAATCAATTCCTGATCCTGTAAGTAGGTGACCCAAATAAGTAAACCACAGACTCATTTTCAGGACTAAAACCAAAAAAAGAAAACGATACGCAACCCCTTGGCTGCCATAACAACTTGAAAGCGTGTAAAATGATGTTATTTAAGCGATTTTTGGATGTTGCAACAAACCCAGACGAAAAAGCAAAAACCAAGAAAAAAAAAAAAAACCTAAATATTAACCAAAAAACAAGACGCAAAAAGAGGCCAAGCCGCAACAGGCTAATCCTATTTTGAAGGCAATGAAAACGAAACAAAAATAATAATAAAACTTTTTTACGACAAGCTCTAAAAAGCCAGAAAAAAGGTTTTCAGGGTTTCTGGACTGGTTCCCTCTTCGTTACTGATCTTGCTCCAGAGCGAGCAACAAATTATTAACGACATTTTAAATGCAACGCCTCTTGCCTGAAAAAAAGGGTCACAACCACAACTCTGGCCGATGACTGGGCCACGATTTCTGGATGGACTTGGACATGGTTTGGTACATGGCCAGGAGAACTCGACTCGGACTCGACTCCTTGCGGGCTCAACACGAAGACGCGACGCCTTTTAATGAGATTTGTCTGAAGACATGAAAAACTTTTGTAATTCCCTCTTTTCCTTGCAGGACGACGACACGCAGCAAAAAGCGACAAAAGTCTGCACTTGAAACAAAAGTTAAATAACTTGTATTTTATTCTGCTTAAATTATTATTTAGATTTAGCAACAAAAACACTGTTTGATATGAAATGATAATAAATATAGAAATAAATAAATATTTTTAAAAATATTTTTACATTCTTATTTTGGATTGTTACTGTCGTTACATTAAAATTTAACGAATTTGTAACTATAAAAAATATATATTTGATAACTAAATTAATTTAAATTTGCAGAATATATTCTGTTTTAATGATTACATAAAATCCTTCAAAATCTATTTCTTTTTTTATGTTTACTAAAATTCCTGTACATTATTTTCCCAAGTGTAAACATTCAAAGAGGAATCACTTGCCCCAACCGTGTGGCATTAACAAGTGTGTGCTGCAAGTTGTGCTTTATATTTTATGCTCTGGCTGTTAAAATTGAAAATTACTTTTGGCCCAGTCTGGCAGAAGATCCTCCACTCCACTCCACTCCGCTCCTCATCGATCTCGAAAAACTTTCCAGGCCTACCGCATTTGAAAGCTGAGACAATAATTGCACAGGGAAAATTACAATCGAGCATTTTTATTATTGCCCCAGAAGAAAGAAGAAGGAGAGACTCTGTCACGGATCTGTGGAGATCTTCTTACTCGAAATCCCAATTTCCAGACTCAAAAAAGCGCCAACGAAAGTGCGTGTGGGTTGTGTGCCCCTTGGGGTTTTTGTTTAACTTATAAGGTTTAGGGTCTTGGCAAATGAAAGTTTTCTCTCTTCTCGTTGAAGCTGCAGGACATTATGTTTGATTAACGAAATGCAGTTTGAGCCTCGGCTGGAAGTCTCCTCATAAATGTTGTAAATAAAGTTTACAACCTTAAATGCCACCCGGGACATGGGTAAAAACGAGAAGCAATTGAAATGTCTGAATTATGTTTGTTGAATTATTGAATTATAGGTGGTCGAAGGGGTCAGTAGTTATGTATGCTTTTGGAAATGTAACTGAGACCGAGTACTTAAGTGCAGGATAAAAGAGAAGTTCCTGGATTAATTCTGTAGAGTTGTATATCTTCAAAGAAATCAGACATAATGTTCCTATAAAGCTGTCTTGCTTATGGTTATT